AAGCAGTTAAAAAAGAACTAACTGCGGATCCTGAACTCAATCATAGGACAAAGCTGCCCATTGAAGAAATTATTTTAGGAATTCAGTTATGCCTCACATCTACTCTCTTTAAATTCCAAGGCAAAATATTATAGACAAACAGGTGTAACAATGGGATCACCAATATCCCCTATCGTGGCAGATATTTTATGGACAGCTGGGAAAATATTGCTCTTAATACATCTAACCCTACTCCAAAAATATGGTGGAGATATGTGGATGACACTTTCACAGTGTTAAAAACAGCACATATCTTGACACATATAAACTCACTAATAGAGGGAATAAAATTCACATTTGAATCGTAAAATGAACAAGGAGAATTAGCTATGTTAGATTGTAAAATAAAACGAATAGAAGAAGGTAAACTACACACTAGTGTTTATAAAAATCCAACACATTCTGCTAATAGATATTTAGACTTTAATTCATCTCATCCGTTAACTGTTAAGGCAGGCTTAGTTAAGTGTTTAACAAACCGAGTAGTAGCTCTAAGTAGCACAAGAAAAGACCTAAATGATAAAATAAGACAGATAGAAGAGGCGTTGGTATCAAATAACTATCCCATAAAATTCATTAGGAAGATCGAAAAGGCCAAAAACAAAATAAAAATAATTATGAAACTAATAATGATAACATAAATAAGAGAGAACATAAGTCATCTACTGTTATACCATATAAGGAAGGGATATCTGAGACCCTACGTAGGATTCTCAATAAAGCAGGAATCAGGGTGGCATTCAAACCTACAAACTCACTCAGGCAGGGACAAGCTCTGTAGGCTAAAAGACCCGGTGGACCCAATTAAACAAAATAATATAATTTACAGAAAACTTGCGATGACTGTGAGTTAAGTCAACTACATAGGTTGAACTAGTAGGTAGGGGGTAGTCAGATTGTCAGAACATAACAATTTAGCTAAGGTAAGAATGGTTGACCCCGAGAAGATAAGTAATTTAGAAAAAAGCTCAGAACTACATTGCACTGCATCCATTAAAACACAACCACACAATAGGGTGGGAGAGAGTTAAAATAGTAAGAAGTAATCTATGTAGGTGGAGAGAGAGAGGTTGATAACTGAATCCTGGTTCATTGAGTCTACACCCAACACATGCAACAGAAATGACTCAATGCAAATACCAGAAATATGGAAGATATTTTTACCGCCAGTCAAATCAGAAGAGGATAATAATCTCAAAATTTTATTTCAATTCAAGCATATCACAACATTCTAAGAAGTTACTTATTATGACTATAAAAACACTCGTCTTATTTCCCATCTGATTGTAATTGATCAGTAACACTCATATTATTATTTCTGAATGTATATTATCCCCTATTGATTTTTATCCAAATATCTAGTCAATTCCACTCATGTATATAAATGAAGGGATAAAGTTGTGTGAGTAACTTGATATGATTATGAGCAATAGTTTGTGCTCGAAACGTGGTCATCAGTAAATATTACTGTATAACACTGTGTGATTTATCAAAATAAAATCTTATCCATAATGGAGTTATACTCTACCACAGTGACCAAGTTTTATACTTATACATACACACCTTGTATTTAGTCAGCATCTTGTCAACTACTTCTAAACCAAATTATCATAATTAATAGTTTAATTACAATTTTAATGTACCCTTGTTCATCAGAGAAATAAATGTCTAATAATAACAATAATAATAATAATAGTAAAGAATGGTCACAGATTACGGATGAATTGAAGTATTAAGTTAGTGAACAGGTTTAATCACGAGTCGACATAAGACAGAGACCTACTGGGAAACTGCGAAGCAAGACTTCTTAGCAGTATGCACCTTCTGAGTTTCGAATCAGGGATCCTCCGGTTGTAAGGCAAGCTCGTAGAGCTGTTAGCTACTAGGATCTGACGCGGTACCAAGTAGCCTTCATGTCTTCCTCAGACCTAAGCCCAAGTCATCGTTTCACATTCGTGTTCCACTCGAGTGCCTGGCGAATAATGTCCAATCCGTCTCCACTTAATTCTATGTACTTTTCAAGAGACAGCTTATTCGTTGGTTTCTTATCAGATTTCTTTGCTGCTTATCGTTTCTGGCAGGATACTTTATCTTCAGTATAGAGTGAAGAAACCTGTTAATTGATAAAAGTCTGCAGGCTGTTGCAAGGGCTTTTAGTGACTTTCCGTTGTTTACTTTTGCAATGGTTTATCTTCTGTTTCAGAATACCTCTGTCCTCTAATAACATTCATGGATTCAGTGAGATCCATTCCGTGTTTCACTTGTTCTTCCCTTTCTTCTTTTTCTTCCTTCCTAAAACTGCATTACGGGTTTTCTTTCACAGCACATGCAGACAGTTCCAGTGTTCCTAGATCCAGGCTTCCTCTGTGAACCCACACAATGTCTCCGATTCTGTTCTGATAGCTTCAGCAAAAGTGTCCTCTCTAGTTTCATCCTTCAGTTTCTAGTTTCAGAACATGAACTATGGTCTATATCCGGCTTCTGTGAAGGCATTCGAATTGAAGGTTCCTTGCATGAGATAGTGGTCTCGATTTTGTGTCCGGCAGTCTGCGCCTCCCCTTTCTTGATATAGGTTTGAAATGAAGTCTGTCTGATTTTTGGTGTGTCCATCTGGTGAAACGTATGTCGCCTCGTATATCTCCTTGTACTTGTACACTCTGCCTCCAATCACCAGACCACTGAATGTACAGAAGTCTGCGAAGAGTTGTCCGTTCTCATTACGGTGATTACAGGGTATATCCCCTTTTGAAGTGATTCCACCTTTATTCAGTGACTATTAGGGCGTTTCGATAAATTCACACTAAATTCAGTAGCATCATTTCATGAAAATTGAAAAATTTACGTTTAATGCACTGCCTTCGATTGATCAATTGCACTACGCAGATATCAGTCAGTATATCATGAAATATTTTCTGATACAAGTACAACAAATGTAGCGCACTTCAAGCATATTACGCCGATGATATTATGTACATCAGAAAAACATTTTTAATGTGAAATTCCATTTAATAAGCATATGAGAAATATAACTGATTATTAAGTCACCATAACAACAGACTACGATGCTACAATTAGCGGTGATGTGCAATAAAGCCACTCATTTGGGTCTGTTAGGATTTTGATGTCGCTATTTGCAGTCTTGTCCATTACTGTTTTGCAGGTGTTTGTAGAATGCTTCCTTTTTCTCTACTGGGTTTGCATCATTTGTAGGAGCGTTTTTTTATTCCTTCACGTTCCCAGTGGAAAATAGTGCTTCAGGCTAGAGACTTGAAGTTTCCGTATCAATGTTTATTTTCACAGGATGGGGTTGCTAGCCTCATGCCCAACCTTCCCTCTTTACCAGTCTTATAATTGGCTTAGTGAGGTAATGGAGTGCGTCGGCCGGGGATAAAACCCCGGACCAAATGCGTGGTTGGGGAGCATTCTACTGCTGTACCACCAAAGCACTTGTAGGAGCGTAGTATTACGTAATTATGACTTTCTTAACTTTTGAACTGAATCTTGATGCCACTATCCTAGAGGAGATTGTTTCCCACCCCATAAGAGCCTTCAATGCTCTGTGTGCTCACAGTTATCATCTGGGTGACCGGAGCAGAGTATCGACTATCTAGTTAACAGCTTGAAGAGTCTACTCCTATTCTGTCTTCCCGCTTAGACTTCCAACACTTTCTTTTGCAATCTGAGTAGCTTTCTCAGCCTCAAACATCGTATGAATATTCCATATCCCCATGATTATTTTCATTTTCACCTGAAGAAGATACACTAGCTGACTGGCTACCCAAAAGCTTTCATCAGACCCCGTCATTTCGTCTTTCCTATTCCACAGAAGAACAAGTTTATTTTTGAAAGTGGTTTTTCTGTGCTTTAAAGTTCCTGTAGCGAATGGAATGATTTTCTGAGATAGTATTGCTAGCCCCAAAACCAACCTTCCCTCTTTTTCCGGGTTTAGGACTGGCTTATAAACTAGTGACATGCGGTTAACTTAATATTTTCCCCCGCATATTTCACTTGTTTCTGCACAATTTCCTGCTGACTTATGTAATCTCTGCGTTTCAGTACTTTTTTGCTACTCTTGTCCCCCAATTTTACGGGGAACTCTGATTGCATTACACATATACAATAATTATAGTAATTCATCATAATTTACTAACTTAACACTTCGATTCATCCGTAATCTATGACCATTCTTTACTATTATTATTATTATTAGACATTTATTTTTCTGATGAACAAAGGTACGCTGAAATTGTAATTAAACTATTAATTATGATAATTAGGTTTATAAGCGTTTGACAAGGTGCTTACAAAATACAAGGTATATGCTTTATTCTGTTGTATGTTTTATCATTACTTCGTTCATATGCATGCAGGAGAATTCATGTTTGAGGAAACATTTCAGCTGGAGACTGTAGTTATTAGAGTTGCACTGTGTTCTTATAAATGATATTATTAGTGGAAATGAAAAGACGTATACTACCAACACACACACACACTCACCTCTGCGAGGTATACAATGGTGAAATAATTAACCGACAACTATTCGCGTGTTTGCAGTCAAGCAGGTACACTTCTTGAGCAGATAAATTCAGATGAGAAGCTATAAAAGTGTTAGACCAATAAGCTCATTTTGCCGGAATTCCATCTTTTTTTCTGCGATAATGAACCACTCATTAAGCTGTGAACTACAACTATTGTTTAGCTCTCAGATCTTCCTCCCTATTCTAAATTCAATTGCATTAAACTGGAAAAGGACCTAAAACTAAGAATGATTTTAGAAAATGAAACAATCTTCTTGTCTAACAGACGAATTCATGTTTATGATTATAATTCCCCTGAGCTGTGATTATTTATCTAAAGAATTACTAAATGAGGTTGGACTTATATTGTTTTCATGTAATGACAACTGACAGATATATGTGTTTGTGATTAATACAATGCAGTTTGAAGAAAGACTAACTTACCCTTTTGAGAATTTTATTGTATTCTCTAGAAACTGGGAATTCCACTTCATATCACATTCTTCAAATGGACTTTTCAACCAAGCCTGCAGTTTATTCAGTGGGTCTTCAGTACCCGATAAACTACTACTGTCAGTAAGATTACAGCGGTCGACAGAAGGTTCATGCTGAGTTTCACTCGACTGTCCCCATATTTTCTGATACTGATTCGTTGAATATTGAACGTCTGTGGAGTACTGATCACACTGAACATTATCTAGTGGAATTTTTTGATTCGTTTCGGAATTATTATTGAAAGCTGGCGAAAATGTTTGATTTTGATGATACGCATGGGAAAATTCGTTTTGAGGCAATCCATAACAAGGATTCATAAGGATATCTGAAGAAAACGATGTTCTGTTTACTGCATTGTTAAGCGAGTTCATAGATGACGAATAACAGCACGAAGATGAAGATGTTGAACAAGACGTACATGTTGTGACTCTTGGAATCATTATACAACTTTTACTTCTTATTTCTGAAGGTGTACAGTATAATTGTTCGTTGACGAATGAGGACATCTTCATTCCGGTAGAAGAATATGTAAATGATAGTGATGTACATGAGGAATCAGATTTGTTTAAATCAGTCATATTATTTAATTCGAAGAGAGATTCATTTGCAGTCAATTTATGAACTTGGCGAACTATGAAGAAAAGAAAATACTTGCAGTGAATAATTATTAGTGATTTAACACGAGTATTTTTTATATTTCAAATTTATACCATCCATTCACCTTGAAACTGAATGCAAACTAGAAATATTATTCACTTTTGACAGTTCATAAAACACTGATCTATTATTTTCTGGTGCAAAGGGGCATGACACTTAATGTTCGACAGATGACTTACATAAATCCTGGTTCCTTTGTCTATTGATAACGCAGGGAAAAGCCGCTGTCAGAAACGCTTTTCAGCTTACATTAAAATCACAAGAGTTTTTATTCGAGCAAAACTCATGAAACATGCATAGGATTTTCAGTCTCAAGGTTTAAAAGCAGACACACTTGACGTCACCTACTCAACGGTACTGGACGTCGTTTCGTTTGAAGTAACATCACACTATTTGTTGCTAATACTGGTTGAGTTCGACAGATTTACATTTTTGTGTTTACTACCAGTTTTCAGTAAAGTAATAAGATTTGTTTATGTAACTGAAATTCTCTTCGTTCAATGAAACGTTTAAAGATGCCAATGTTCAGATACTTAGGTGATTTCGTAAACTCTTTTTTTGTTTTTTTATACGTACAACAATCTTCTTTGCATCATTATTATTTAATTCTCTGATTTTGAGTGATTCTGCTTGGATTAGTAGCCTTCTAGCGGAAATCGACTCTTAGAGTTGAATATTCAGGATAGAAGCTGTATGTACATCACTATCGGCTAGTTGGTTAGTGCAAGCAATGCAACCCTACACATGATCATTCGTTACATATGAGACTTAGAGGTGAAATGTACAACATGGACGTTTAGCAATACCCAGCTTAGTCTACTGGCAAATATGTGAGTATTCTCAAGAGTGCAGATACTCCTTGAAAATTATAAAGTTAGTCAACTTGTAACTGAGCAAAAATAACCAGGAATCGATTGAATCCGTAAGATTAATACTTCTATTGAATCCCACTTTAACTTTGCAAATTTTAGCTTGCATCATCACGTACTAAACTTCACGTAGTCTCTGAATGAAAGACAAAACATATTCTAGGTGCTACCAAAAGACAAAACAACTAAGAGATGAGTTATATAGTTGGATCTTTAATCGATATGAAGGAACTGGCTACCACCATCTTGATTTTCCACTGGTCTAACTTTTTTTTTAATGAAGCATAAAATACCTTCAGATTACGCTTTCTTTGTTCAATTTCTTGAACTACAGCGACCAACATTTAGTAAATACAACTTATCTATACAGTCACATTACTGTGGATCTTGATCGGTAAGCTGATGACTACTAAGAACCTAGATGTATATTTCTGCTTGAATCACCGTCTCATTAGATTAATGTAAAAATTCCAATGAGACAGCCTACCCTCAGACAATGACACTTACATAACTCTACGGAATAACAATGAAATCTTTGTAAGATCCAAACTAAACTTTAATAGCCTAAAAACTTCTTTAACACATAGATAATAAATGAGCGAATAAATAAATAACATCTCATTTAAAAAAAATACACATTCTTAAAACCACTTACTTTCGTCAGATGATATATTACTACTATTGTTATTATTATTATTCATGATGACGTCGAAGTGAAAAATGGCATTAGCTATTAAAAACAAGAAATGAAGTAGATTTCCTCAACTTTAAACAATTAATGATAGATAGACAGAGATGTGAACAATGAATTAAAGTTAGCGGAAGAATGTGGATTTATTTGTTTGTTTGTTATTTGTTTGATTTTATGAAAAACCACTAAACTAGCAGTATTATAATTCGAAAAAAAGCTGACCAATCATATAGTCAAGGAAATATTGTAATATTAGAAGAGCGTATTTCAATTCTGATTGGTTATGAACCCGTAAGGGAGAAATATAGAGGATTATAGAGGGGAAAAATAAATCTATCGAATCGACACACCCTTCTACCTTTCAGAGTGAGAAATAGCCAATATAAATTCATTGTTTTTTTATTTATATATTCATTATAGTAGTTTTCCGCCCCTCGTACTACACATGCCTTTCATTTGTCTGCTATATTATATTTTCTTTGCTGTTCATGTGTTGGGCTACGATGAAAATGAGGCAGAGAAGAACGACTTTGCGGACTTGTACACACACACATACATGTATACATAAAATAAGACTACATGAAAATCAAGCCTCGTCAATTTTAATCATTGCTAAGATTAACAACTATATTTTCTCTAATTTATAGACGAAATAGGACTTTCAAGGAAAGTATGTGTCCTATTTTAACCTGGAGTCATTTTAAAACTGAGCATTAGTTTAACTTTCGTTGATACCTTTCCTTCAGTGCATTTATTTGCATAGTGTTTGTCGATGGCACAGCGGTTAGGACGCTCACCGACCATGCACATGGTCCAGGATTCGATCCCCGGCCGACGCACTCCTTTACCTCGCCAAACCAGAAATAAAAGCTGGTAAAGAGGAAAGGCTGGGCATGAGGCTAGCAACCCCATCCTGTAAAAAATAAACACTGCTACAGAAACTTCAAGCCTCTAGCTTGAAGCTCTATGTTCCACTGGGAGCGTGAAGTAATAAAAAATAAAATAATTTATTTACATATGTCATATGAGCGGATCAGGATGTGAACACCCAATGCCTAGCATCAACCAATGTGTGATTGCATACGGCCACCAAGGGTCGTGGTGATTAATAATAAGCTAACAAAGTTAAACAGATACAGATGTCAGTTTCTCATCACGAACTGACTTCAGTTAGGGAATCATTGAAGACGAGGGTGTACTGGACACCTGTCTCCTCCCAATTCACGATTGTTCATCACCGCGCACCATTGACACCATCACCGATCAAACCAACAGGCTCCAGGTTAAAAGGCACGCTGATTAACCATTCAAATGTGTCCTTATGATTAGCAGTCTCTTCAGTCAGGCTTTAGAAAACCAACTGTCGAAATGAATTAATGCAGTTGACCAAACATAATACTGACCACATGTTTTCAGCTTGATGCGATGTGCTTACAGTTGCTAAGCTGAATAATGATGCAGTTGCGCATGAATAATGACCACTTTTCTTAATGTAGTTTGTGTAGTTGGAAAGAGGATTGTGGATAGAGAGAACGGCAGCTGCCGACAGATACATTCTGAAATACGGCCTCGCCAGCAACCAGTAAAATAGTACAAAGGAGTAGGTGAAGGTGATTACTGAAAAAATTTATTCTCATTGCTCACATGAATTCAATCTCACTTGAAATTGTTTTTCCTATTCATGAACTGATGAATCTCAACATCTCCTATTTGTCTTATGTGACTTCTGTCCTCCTAATTGTTCAAAAGTGTTAGCTGGCATTTCACATCAAATTTCGGTCAGTCTCATATTGAACGCAAAGTGATGCTGCTACTTAGTTGACATAACATAGCAAGAACTCGAATTCCCTGATGACAATGAATCACAACTGTGCTATATCATAGTTACTTGTAAGTTGGCAAAATGTGGTTTTCGAATTACTAATCGGTGCTCAAAAAAAGAACTAGGCATGACTGAAATGCGTAGAATTAGAATGAGATTTGTGTTTTGTTTAAACGGTCTTTCATGTCTTTCTAATGTTTTCTGATGGCACGACAACATACGTATGATAGCGGATCTGGAAATAAAGCCTACTGATTGAGACAGGATTAGTAACGGTGCCTGACTGACCGAATCTCTGCAGACGTGACAGGGTTCGAACTATAGGCTTGCACAGTAGAAATCAATTGCTTTCAACCAGTGAGCTACAGCTGAACATAAAGCGATATCACATCCATCAGTAGGATATCTCGAAATCATTTGATACTCTAATGATCAATTATTACATATACCAAATCCATATTAGTTATTTCAACTGCCAAAATATACGTCAACAGAGTCTTCTGGTGAAAGCAAACTGTCGATTTGTCCACTAATACCGTAGCATACCAGTCTGTCCTCAGATTCTCAGTAGATACATACATACACAGATGGAATGCAAACCGTTTTGAAGAACCAGTTCACTTCCACTCCTTACGACTGAGGGACTGTTCAACTCTGCAAATATGATCCCATGGACAGAGATATTAACCGGAGATTGTGCGTTACTGAAATCCAGTCAAGGAATTGGACCTAATCTGGCGGATTGGGACTCCATCGCTTGTGAAGTAGTGTGTGGGCACTTGTGAGGAGTCGCATATCAGGACGAAACAGCTGCTCCTCAAGTCAATTTCGATTCAAAATTGAGTCAACTACAAAATGAACAGATTTTTGGGAACAAAAATACTCTTTTTGTATTGACGTGCATGAAACCTACACATATTTATACTTTCAACACAAAATTTCAGAGCCTTTCTGTTGAATCACTGACTATTTTATTCACATGACACTTAATCGACCAGAAACAAGTAAAGGAAATATGCGACAGTACTTCTTGTTTGACTGATTCTCCTCACAGAGTCTTCTGAGTACTCACTCACTCTTCTAAGGAGGATAGGTACCCTTTATCTGATGATAAGAACCACAAATTACCCACTTTTTAGGAAACCGACTTGAAAGCTGTATGAAATCAAGTGGTGATTATCGTAGACAGTGAGATTGTAAGGAGCTTGATGTTGAAATGCACTAAAATCATTCAAGTTCTAATTTCAAGCAAACAGTTAAATACCTGTTTCGGGTAGCCATGAATAATGGAATTATATGATACTACAGTGGAAACGATTGTAACAGCAGAAGACCGGATATAGCGAAATTATGTACACCTTATCTTCAAATCACCGTTACACAGACCTTCCGTGTTGAGCTACTTCTGTCCATTATATTGTTTTTCTTTTTGTTCCTTTCACGTCGTCCATGTTTCTTCACAATGCTGAATTATTTGTTTTCTCTACCGTCAAATCTATGTCCTTGCCCCTTGATATTTTTGTGCCGATGGACGTCTCTTTACATACTACAGATAAATCTTATCAGTAGCACCCGCCGCACGGTGACACGTCTCTGCGTTTTTGTAATAGCCGCTGACTATTTATCTCGTTATCTCATAATAAACTTAAAAGAAAATTATTCACTTTGACGTATCTTTGGAGGATGTTTTTATGTGTGATCACTATTTAACAAAAATTCAACACTGGATATGAAACTTTACTTGTTTCATGCCTTTTACTTGAAATGTTTTCCTTGTTAATGCTTCCCTGACAACTATCATCTACAACCCAGTACTTTAACATCTTTTACGTTGATCAGCACCAACTTATTAATTTCAAATGATAGTAGAGAACTTCAACTTTTCACGACAGTGACTGGATAGAAGTCGGTTAAAACGAACTAGTTATCTTGAGAATTTTGTCAGGGTCTGAGAACACTTATGTTTGATTAACATTTCAAAGGGTTGTGATTATATCAAGACATTCAAACCACCAACTTTATGCCGATAGATAAAAAAAAGCAAAATTATTGCCGAAAATGACGGAAATATATTAAAATTCAAGGTTATTTGGACACCAACTATTTTCAATGGGATTAAACTATTAATTACCATCAAGGATTTGCCATGAAAACAGGAAATTAGCAACTGTAAAAGTCAAATGCCAGTTAACACAATCAATTTAAGATTAAATCCACTCCTACTTAACATTCACCAACTTATCTGTCTACTCAATCTTTTTTTTTGATATCCTTGGTGTTACGCTTGTCAATTTCAATTACCAAAAGAATGGATACTGAACAAAGAGTACTCTTTTCGATAACTTCATCATTAGGCTCTACAGTTATATATGCATTATAGTGAATGAATGAATTAGTGTTATGAACAACATTAATGTTTAAATAGCATCGAATCAATAATATTGATAGATTACAGCTCAATAGCATAAAAATAAAAATAAGCTGAATGTCAGAAAAATTAGGAAAGATAATATTACAAATCCATGAATTTATAGTCTCTACTGAAGGCCAGGGTAGTAGAAGGGGCTGGACTTGCTTCTTCTGAACACAGAGCACTGGTTGTTTGAGGCGAGTTGCGATAGCCTCTGCTGTTTGGAGCATGCGGTGCTTCGATGATTTTGGCAATTTATTAGTCACTCGGTAGATTATAGAGAAGGATTCTTCCACGCTGGCTTTCAATTATTCCAAAAGTTTTCTTTTGTGTCTGTGACACATTAACACCATTTAGGAACTTTACACTAACTACTATAGTTTTCTAAATTTACAGTCGGAATGGTGATTATTGTTAAGACAAATAATGGACAGATTCAAGGTGTAGAGAAGCAATTTGCCTTGATCATTGATGATTTATTTTTTCAGCATCTGCCGCTCGCTAGCAAAGTTTATAGGAACTGCAAAGCAGTGAATTGACTTGTGAACCTGTAATCAGTGACAAACGTGATTCAATGGTCTGGATACTTCATTACTAAATCTACTTCTGCAAATAGTCTTTTTCCGATGAATTGTCTGAATTTCTTGCTCTCCTTCTTTTACTGTCCTAATGGGTTTATTTATTAAACTTTAATTCTAACTCAGTTATTCTGAAGTGAGTTACTAGACAGCAGCAACATCACTGCTCGTGCATTCAGGCTGGCTGAAGCTACTCTCCAGGGTCTTATTT